ATGTATACACGTGTATCTGAATAATATCATGTTTATGTTTATTGTTTTTTTATCCTAATCTTTTAATGCTAGATTTAAGCCATAAAGCCCAATAGTAAGCCCATTGAAAATATCTCTCACCCTCTTACATTTGCAACTATTCCGGCGATCGCTTTCTCCTGTATCAGTCCTTGAAAAATGAGTCTCCGATTCAAATTGTGATCGCCTCCTTCTTCTATCATTAGGGTTCGCTTCACTCACCACTCCCAGATCTCTGAATTTTTTTTTGTTATAAATACTCTGCTTTTCGATTTGTTTATCCGGAATTCTTTGATTCCTCTCTTTCTTCATCTTCTATTTCTGAATGTGTCTCATTTTGGTCTAATTTGTTTTCGGAATCTACCTCGTATCGTGTCTGATTGATCTTAACGTCTTTGAGAATGCTTCGTAGCTATCGAAAACTCTCATACAGTAGTTTCCAAGTATCTGGGTATCTGTAGAATTATTAGCTGAAAATCAGCAATCTGTTTCTTCTTTGAATGAAATATCTGGAATGTTAATTTGATCTCGTTCAATTTTGTGTGTTGAATGCAGCGAAAATTGTATACTCAATCAAGTCTTCTCTTGCTGTTTTTTGTTGTTCTTGCTCAGAGTGTGTTCTTGAGGCTGTGCACTTTTTGAGATGATTGGTGTTTTGCATTGATCCAAAGGAATAATCTGCTTTCAAATGCAATGCCTGATGGCCGATCCAGCTTTAATCGCTCTAGATTCCGAGGATATTTTGGGAGGAGACCGACATTTGGTGATTGGGAAAGAGTTTCCGGATGTGGAAACCTGCAGAAGAACTTTGAAAGATTTGGCTTTAGCTCTGCATTTCGATCTTCGTATAGTGAAATCAGATCGAAGCAGATTCATTGCCAAATGTTCCAAGGAAGGTTGTCCGTGGCGAATTCATGTCGCGAAATGTCCTGGCCTTCCGACATTTTCGGTTAGGACATTTAACGGTGAGCATACCTGTGAAGGGGTCCAAGATCTGCATCATCAGCAAGCGTCTGTTGGTTGGGTCGCAAGATCGTTAGAAGCACGGATTAGAGATAA